AGCGTTCTATTAACTGTAGAAATGTGATTTTACTACCATTCGATTCATCTTGATGAGCTGATTCCAATGAGCTATAGATCGTCTTGATTGGATTAGTAGATAGACAATATTCTTAAATTACTATAATTATTCAAATTTAAAAGCGTAAACTTTTGTAATATTACATTTTTAGTGTAATATTTTGAAATTTTACACCATCTCCAAAATATTACACTAAATTACACCTAAACAAATTTCCTGATGAAGTTTTGAAAGTATAAGAAAATATAATAGTATTAGTAGTATTTCTGATTTTGTATTTTTAATAATTAATAAATTTAAATTATTAAATGAAATTATTGTGAAATATCAAATAATTTTAAATAAAAATGTATGCAATTAGAAGATTTTTTATTGTTATAAATTTATCAAAAAGTTATCAATCGGTATACTGATATGTCAAATAGTAAATATTCTATTGGTAACTATTAATACCCGATTATACCGTAAAGCACTGACTAAACTACCCCCCCTGTGTAAACTACCCCCTATGGTTTTGGGACAAAATTTTGTAAGAAACCCGGGTATTTTACATAGTTAATTTTTTTTTTGAACTGGAAATAGCCGATTTACTTGTATTTATTAAACCTTTTATTTATTTATATATAAACGTATTTTTATTAATTTGATTTATCTTTACAACTATTAAAATTCATCCCAGTTATTGTAATCATCTTCACCATCCTCCAAAACACGCTACAAATACTTTTTATACCGTGTAAGCATATTTGATCAACATAGTGCAACTGTGCAAGATACCCCCCTCTATACAAAATACCCTCCTGATTAAACTACCCGGGTATTTTGCAAATACGGGGGTGAATTTGTAAAAAACCCAGGGTAGTTTAGTTAGTGCTCTACGGTACTTTATTGAATATCCTGATTGGTAGAGCTCCGCACAGGTAAGGGTCAATTCGGGTGACCCGTCGGGTTGACCTGAAATATTCAGGTCAGGTTGTCAAATTCGTGACCTGGTATCAGGTCGGGTTACAGGTTTGACCTGACCTGATTGACTTGTCAACCTGAATACTTTAGCTCAAAAAAAATGTTTATACTCTGAAATGACGTTTTTTCATGTTACCTTATGAAAAAAACGCCGTTTCGGCATTGTTTTTTATAAACAAATACGCCGAAATGGCGTTTTTCATTTTATTTTATGGAAAAATGCCGTTTTGGCATTTTTTCACTTCTTTTATGAAAAAAAATCGCCAAAATGGCATTTTTTCATATTATTTTATGGAAAAATGCCATTTTGGCATTTTTTTTCCACTTCTTTTATGAAAAAAATCGCCAAAGCGGCGTTTTTTCATATTATTTAATGGAAAAATGCCGAACTGGCATTTTTTTCCACTTTTTTTATGAAAAAAATCACCAAAGCGGCATTTTTTTCACTTCTTTTATGAAAACATCGCCAAATCGGCATTTTTTCATTTATCTTATAGAAAAATGCCGTTTTGGCATTTTTTTCACTTCTTTTATGAAAAAAATCGCCAAAACGGCGTTTTTTCATATTATTTTATGTAAAAATGCCAAAATGGCATTTTTTTTTCACTTCTTTTATGAAAAAAATCACCAAAGCGGCATTTTTTCATATTATTTAATGGAAAAATGCCGAAACGGCATTTTTTTCCACTTCTTTTATGAAAAAAATCGCCAAAACGGCGTTTTTTCATATTATTTTATAGAAAAATGACCTGAATACTTTCAGGTCAGACGGGTCAGGTCAGGTCAGAGCAGGTTACCCGACCTGACCTGACCTGATAAAATTTTTCGGTTCGGGTCAGACAAATTACCCGACCCGACCCGACCCGTGCAGAGCTCTACTGATTGGTACTTGAGTATCCTTCTTTTGCGCCATTTTTTGGCAGCAATTAGGTTTACCGATTGATAAAAATTTTTAAAAAAATAGGAACCAATTGGGTGGAATTCAGTCACCTGATTAGTCTCTGATTTAACATTGTTCGACTAGTGAATAATAAAGAAAGAAAATATGTAAATAAAAAAAGAAGAAAAGAATGAAGGTGAATAAAAAAAATAGGAAAAGTGAAAGGAAATGAAAGAAACAAAGACAATTGAAGAAGTGACGAAATGAAGCAAAGAGAAAGTAAAAAAAATGAAAGAAATAAAAAAGATTAAATGGAAATGAAAAAAAAATAAAAAGAATAAAGAGAAGATGAAATAAAGTAAAGGGAATAAAAGGAATAAAAGGTAGTATAAAGGAATAAAAGAGATGAAGTATAAATAAAAAAAAATGAAAGGAACAAAAAGAAAATAAAAAACAATGGAAAAAATGAAGGAAAGGAAAAATAAAAAAAGCAAAAAAAATGAAAAGATGAAAAAAGAACAAAAAATAAAAAAGAGAATAAACAGGAAATTAAGTAAAAACTAAATCTATAAAATAAAAGAAGAAATAAAGTTAGTAGGGAATAGAAATAAATAGATAAAAACAAAAAAATAAAAAACATATCTTAGTAATTGTAGAGAAAAACTGAAAGATCTAAAAAGAGTAAAATACAAAATGTAAGAAATGAAATATAAGAATGAAATAAAAAATAAAAAGAAACGCCCATATAATGCTGGATATATATATATATCTTAATTGTAAAACTGAAAGAACCAAAGAATTTAAAGAATAAAATAAAGTTAGTAGAAAACAAGTAAAATGAAAAAAAAATAATGTACTTTAAATATTATACAAAGTAGCAAAAGAGCCTAAAGAAAAAAAAGATTATTTGAATATATTAAAAAAAAAAAATAAACAAACATAAAAAGGTGATATCACCGAGTAAATTATATAAAAATATATAAAATTATCAGGTTAAATCACTTTAGGTGAAAAATTGCCAAATCATCCCAAGTGAAAATTAGTTATAATCTAATATTATAATATATATTTTTTCAATACTATAGATTAAATTAATTAAATTAAAATTGCTTAATACTCTAAAAAATAAAAATAGCCAGAAAAAAAAAGGATTTGATTAGTACTAATTTTTTTTATACTAATTGCAAATATTATAAATAAAAAAAAAATTAAAAAACTTATAAAAATATATGTGAAGTATATATTGTAAAATTAAATATTTTCAAATAAATTTATAAATGTCAATTAAAAAAAAAAGCAAAATTAAATACTGCAAAATGAAATATAATTATTATTAATAGAATCAGCTTAGCTAATCTACTAATAATATAGAAATAAAGTTAAAGTAATAAATAAAAAATATATGTCTATATTTAATAAACATAAATGTAAAAAATTTTAAAATAATTGTAAATAATAAATATTTACAAATAAATTAATAAATTAAAAATACTGATTGTTACTAATAAGAATTTAAAATTTTTAATAATATTTCAACATTTAACATAATTTGAGCCAAAATATCACGTGAATCAATTGAAAATGGGTAACTTTATAACATAATAATATAATTAAAAAAATATTTATGGTAAACAAAAAGTTTTTACAATTCTGTAAATCAAATAAATCAAATTAATTTTTTCTGATTGTAGAATTCAGTATCGTCATTTTATAATTGCATGCTTTTAAAGTATCCCTTGACTATCCTGGGTCCCGTATACATTGCACTAGCGTACGTACATATGTCTATCGTTTTTGGCTTTCTTTTTTAATGTTGAGAAATTAAAAAAAAATTATTTTCTTTTTGACTTGTGCGACTGACTGTCATCCAACTGCCAATATCCTACCTTCCTCTTCCTATCCTTTTTAAACGTTTGTACTAATAATTAATTATCTTTTATTCTCTCCTTCCAACCAAACCAATTAAATACACATAAACATATCCAAACAGGTTTACAAATTAGGAATCCATTTTATTCGAAATTTGGTTACGACGAAACTACTATCTTTTCAGTAAATACCCTAATTTTTTAGCTTTTTGACAACTGTAAATTTATTTATATATAGTAGTATACGAACACCAGCTGTCCAACTTTAATTCTACGAATAAACACTCCCTTCCTTTAAGCTTTTCGTGCTGAAAGCGTTCGTTTTGACGATTCGAACAAACAAACATATTTCATCGTAATGAGTTTTCAAATAAGCCCGCCAAATACTGACGGGCATCAACCGTCTAATTCCGATGAGTCAAAGGTTTCCGAACAGGTTGGCCTCCGCTAAACAATAAAAAAATTTTTTCACCATGTTAGTTAATTTGTAACTTAATTTTTGTAACAATTTTCATATAGCTTTCGCAAAATGAATATAATGCCTTAAAATCGCAGTTGGAACAAATTTTTGCAGACTTTGATAAAGAAAACCGTGGGAGAATTGTTTCGAGGGATCTTTTCTCTATGATTGAAAAATTTGAAAGGAATCAAACATCAAGACTTTTAAAGGATGACACTAGGCCTATGTTTCAGATGTTTTGTGAACAGAATCCTGATATGGAAGTCTCTGTTGATGACGTTCTTCAGCTCATAACTAAGTTACAGCCGTCAGCTCCTTCTAATAATACTACAGTTGGTTCTACAGCTTCTTCAGAACCAATGACGCCTCGGAGATCAGTCACTAAATTTGGATCGGTTCGTAGTAATTGGCGAAATAGGCATGTTGGTAATAGGGATGGTTCAATGTCTATTCCTCAAGAAACTGATGTATGTAATTTTTAATAATGAAAACAAGCAGATTATTACAGTTCTTTTCTAACTTTTTGTTCATGTAACGTAGGGTGAGGATAGCAGTTCAGCATCAGGGCGTTCAAGACGTTTATCATCATCTGGATTTTATGAATCACCTGGTAGCATGATGTCATCTTCTTATACTAAGCCTTATTATGATCCTTCGGAAGAAATTGTAGAGTCTTTTGAGGGGAGTGGTGGAATTGACGAAGCGGTTTCTAATTTGATAAAAACTGTATGGTTATATTTTTACTGTAAATTTAGAAAAATTCCGAATTGTAATATTTTTGTTAATAAATTTATAGAGTAATAATGACGATCCTGCTGTCCAACTCAGCCGTCTTTACCGTCATACTGTTGATCTTACTAAACGCCTCAAAGAATCTGAACGTCATTTGGCTTCCGTAGCCCGTCAACATGAGGATCGTATTGAAGAATTACAACATAAATTGGATGAAACAAAAGCAGATTTAGCAACTAAAAAACGTGAAATTCAGGATCATAAAAGCAAAGAAAAGACGAATTTGCATCAAATTTCTGCAGTATATATTATTATTATTTATTACTTATTTAACATAGAAAATATATTTACTATATTTATCTATATTTTAGTTGGAGGGAGAGATACAGAAAGTGGGAAAGAATTTATCTAGCCAAAAGCAACTTTATAGTCATCTTAAGAGACAATATGAAGAACAATGCGGTACATTAATATTATTTGTTCTAACTATTGTAGCTATGAGCATTTATTTGTTATTAATATTATTTTAATTTATGAACAGAGGAAGCCGAAAAGTTGAAAGATCTTGTACGAATTAAGGAAGAAGAATTGTCTAATACGGAACGAAACCTTACATTCTTTTCTATGGAAAGACGAGCGGTAAAATTTAGTTTTTTAATATTTTTTTTTTATTTAATATATATTTTTTAAGCATTTATTTATTTTTTAAGTGGACTGAAGATCGAGAGCGTTTGGAATCTGCATTGATAAAGTTAGAAAAGAATGCAGAAGCTGCTCAACAACACGAGAACGAACTTGTAAGACAACGAGACGAGAATTTGTACTTAAAAGAAACGATTGATAAATTAAAACTCGATTTAGAGGAAATTCGAAGTAGCAGAGGACTGAATACCAATAAAAAATATCCTTCTTAAAATTTTTCATAAGAGTTTTACTTTATTTATAGCATATTATTCTTAATATAAGCTTACTGAACTCGATGTTGCCAATGACGTAGAAAACATAGGCAATAACAATAAGGTATAGTATATGATAATATTTTGTTATAAAATGAAACAATGGACAATTATATAATCTAATTATGTTTGCAGAGCCTGCAAACAGAGCTATTTGACAATGCGCTTGCGTCGATAGAAGAAGGTGGTTCAGATTCGAACACGGATGATGTAAGACTAACTGTTAGCAAGGTAGTTATTTTTTTCTAGAAATTTTCTTTATTAAGAAAATATGTTGACTAATTCATAATTAGACCCAACGACGACGTAAGGATAATACATCAGATATAAACGCAAGTGAAGAGCAATCGCATTCACGATCCGGCGAACTGGAAAGATATCGTGGTGCTGATACCGATCATACAAACCGAAAACAAAGTGGATCACGTTCAAGTCGTCGTCAAGTAACAGATGCAAGCGGAATTGCACGAAACACCTCTGGTAGGGATATTGAATCACAATATCAAATACTATCTTCAGAATTAGGAGTTCAATATGCCTTGATTGAAGGCATATTAAGGAACCGAGATATAGCACCAGGTGCACATGATAAAAGAGATAGACAAATTAGGAATAGTGTTGATGGAGATAGTACTGATTTAATGAGACATTCAAGACTTCGCCAATCAGCAAGAAAAAGCAAGCGGAAAGGTTAATCATTAATTTAAATTATTTAATTGGCTTTATTTTTAACTCAACATTAAATTTTACCAAATTTATATTATTTTTGTTGTACATAACTATTTCATATTATAACTTTTGCTAATATTATCGAATTTTCCATTAAATATAGCAGCAACTCCAGTTCCAGAAATAGAGGTATGCATTTCTAATTTTTTATCATCATGATATATGTTATAGAACATTTAATTGAAATTGGTCCATTCTAGCCACAATCGTCAGAAAAAATTGAACAAGCGGCGATGCAATCATCGAAGGCGCTTGTCACACGCAATCAAAACATGACTGTTGCTCAACATAATATGGTTAACAGTACTGTTACATTCGCACTCTACACACTTGTAATTTATCTTTTCGGAATTATTACATCTGTGTTTGTACTTGATAACAATCAGGGAAATATTCCATATAGCGAATGGCTTCCAAATGACTTGCGTGATGAAGGCTGGACTATGCGTTCATTTCAGATTATATTGTATTGGATCGATACATTATTAAATGATGGAAATATGAGAGTTCCTACATAAATAAACCGGAAAGACTTTTTATATTATTTTTATTTTATCTTTATATTTTTCCTTTGTTAAATAAGTAGTCTATTATAGGTTGTCGTGTTGAAAGAAGATAATTAAAATCTTGCTTATACGAGTTATTTTTTATATCACTCCAATTTCTCCCCTTCTTCCTTTCTTTTAATTTTAACAAGTACATAATGTACACTTGAATTTTTATAATTTCTTGTATTATAATTGTTGATCTTTGTTGCGCTTGCAATCATATTACCATTTTTTTTTATTTACTTTTTCTTTTTTGTTTGAAATTACATTATAATTGTTCATTTTCTTTACCATGGTTATATTATATACTAAATATCCTATTTAGATTGTTTATCAATTTTGGAGGACAAATACCAACTAGTATTATATTTCAAAAAAAAAAAAAAATTGGCTAATACTTAAGAAAAGTGGGTCTTTATTTATTTGTTTAATGATTAACCGATGTAATGAATTTAAAGAAAAAAAATTCTGCATGAGAGGAAAATTTAAATACGAGGACATCTAATTTTATTTTTCAGGTAAATATCTCGGAATTTATTATTTTCGATAAAGAAAACTATTATATTAATGGTTCCGAGATTTAGTATGAAAGTAATGATATTGATAATATCACATTTTAACATACAAGTATAATACATTGAATGGATGGAAAAAGAAAAAAAAATCACCACCTAAATGCTCATCCAAATAACATAACTATACAACACATTTAAAGCGTATCACGATGTAGTAAATCAGTTTAACCTTGACCTCGTTCGCTAGAGGATCTGTCCGTGCTGAATAATAAATTTTACATTAATTAATATGTTAATACGGGCATAATATTAAGTTTATTGATAAACTTACGAATATCTTCTGTCTTCGTGACTATGCCGTTTATCTCTTTCATCGTCAGAATATCTCCTATAATACCTATCATCACGATCATCACGATCACGTCTTGGTGTTAGTGATCTCCTGGGAGAACGAGAACGAGAACGAGAACGAGATCTACAAAATAAAAAGTATTATTATGTTAACAACATCTATCCAAGATCAAAAAATAGTGAGATAGGTTTTAAAGATGACTAAATCTCGCTGAACATTTTGAATAGGGAAAAAATACATATAAAGATTATAATTTTGAACATTCGGCGGAATAGAAAGTTGCCGGTAATACTTTGAAACGGATTTCGACCATTCAATTGCCACGAGATTTCAGATACGGACAAGGGTCTTAGACCATCATTATTCAATAATCATAGGTTGGTCGGATTTGTTACTCTGGCAGACTTTTGAAAAACATTTAATTCTTCTCGCGGAAACAATTAAATTCTGACACAAATTTGGTTTACCAAGCACCATTCCTTTTAGAATATTACACGCGGCTTTATACGGGTTTAAATATTTATATAAACATTTTTCTATATATAATTGTCGAATAATGTGATCATGTGACATATAATGTTGTCACGACCACACGGTTGAAATGGACCCGTCGAACATTACTAGGTCTATACAAACTGAACTTCTCTCAACCTAACAATTATCTTTCTTGGAAGCAATATATAAAATAAGAAAAATATTAACAAAAAACAACCTTAACGAAAACAAACCTTCTTCTTGGACTCCTGCTCCTTCGCCTTTCTCTACGACTCGAACGACAGTCCTTTGCCCAATGACCTTAAAGATTTTAACAGAACTCATATAATTTTCTTATCATTTAACAAAATTTCGAAGTACAATATTAAATGTTATAAGTACCTTCTCTACCACATTTGAAGCATTGATTTTCGGCTGTAAAGCAAAAAGATATATAATATTTTTTTTTGTTAATATTGATATTACAACGGAATAATTCTTGGTTCTTTGAATCCATTGAAATCGAGTAATGCTGTTAAATGAAAATTTCATTTTCTAGTAAGTTATAACGTATATGTTCATTTTATTCCAAAAACCTACCTGGCTTTCTCCCACCATTTTTTGCCCACTCAACAACAATACGATTTCCGCGCACTCGCTAATATAAAAATTATACCTATATTAATACCTCAAATTTTTTGAATGTCCGTACTTTAACATACACACCAAACCGTCAGTTTCTTTCATTGCATCGGATGCATCCCTCTCGTCCTGATATTCAACAAAAGCGTAACCTCGTTTTACTTCCAACCGATTAAGACGCCCATATTTGTCAAAGATATGTTCAAGATCTCGTGGGTGGGTATCCAATGATAACCTGAAATTCAAATAACAATAAGAAGTGAAGGAAAAAGGTCAAGTTATTATTATATGACAGTACCTTCCAATGAAAAGTGCCATTTTCTGAACAGTTATTTAAGCAAAACTCTATTTTACTGGTAGTTCGATTTCGTATTTTTTTTTTTTTTTTCAAAAAAAGAGAGAAAAAAAATTTTTGCAAGTTAAACCAGTGGGCTTATTTATACTTTTTATAACTGTAGCACTGAATCATTGATAAAAAATGACGAAAATCAAATATGAATCTTAGCATTTATTTACTTAACCCAATCAAAAAGCTTAGTTTTTAAGGCTTTAAGCCAAGCGACATAAAGTACATAACCTCTACTGAATTCTTCTCCATACATCGAATTTGGCAATCGCCATATCACAAAATCATTCATTTTTTCCAAAAATACCAAATGAGTTGTATCTGATCTAAGTTCTAATGCAATAATAGCAATTGTAGGATGAATTTCATTATTTTTTCCGCAAAGACAAATTTTAGTTAAAGTTGTAATAAAAGCATCAAGTATGAATTCGTTGTATACGCAGTCACTAGCAATAACAAAATCCCATTGATGTTTTAGAATATCTTTATCAATTTCTTCACCCCATAATAAATCTGTTACAATTACATTCATATAATCTTTTCCCAAGTTTCGTTTAACGTTTTTCCAGAGGTGCGGCAAAACATTCGCTTGATCGGTCAATGTTACCAATTTTACCAAAGGAACGAGACTTATACCTGTTAATCCACATCCCGAACCTAACTCAAGTATTTTTGTTTTTTCTGTTGAAAAATTTAACCACGTGCGATGATTATTCATAAATTTTGCTAGCATAATGCTAGAGTCCCAAAGGACGGTTCCCGTTGTACCGCGGACAGAAAGAAGGGATTGATTTTGTGAAATGTTTACACTAATATTGTCTAATTTTCAGAAAAGAAAGTTAAAAAGTAAATAATATATTGAGATTATATTGATAAAAAAGTTCAAGTAACAACCATTGATTAAAACTTCAACATAATCTTTTTTTTGTGTTACAACACGATTATGTTGCCATTCTAAAGGACGACCTTCTGTGAACAAAAGAAAAACTTCTTCATATATATCATCAATCTTAATGGAGTCTTGTGGAATTGATATTGGAAATATCAAATTTTCGTTATTTATTTCCATCTTTGAAAGAGATAGGTGATCAAAAAAATTCAAATTTTTTAAACTTTATATAATTATGTAATCGACATAACCAATTTAGAAATTTCATGTGAAATTTAAAATATAGAAAGTAATTTATTTATTGGTTCAGAATAAAGTTTTATAAATAAATAATTAATTATAGAATCTAAAAAATATTATAAATTAAAATATAACGTCGGTGTCGTCATTTTTTTCCAATAAATCTGCGGGTTGAGAGTCATAATTCTGTGCGTCATCTAAATAAAAGTAAAATAATATAAGTAAACATAATATATAAGTATTAAAATTGTTAACCTAATTAATAGATATGAACCTTGGCCAGTCCTAAGCTTTTCTATTTCAGCTGCTTGTTGATCTTTCTTCTTTTTACCCTGAACTTTCTTTAATCTTTTAATAAGAAAAAGGATTAATTGTTATATTAATTTTCCGTAATTAACTGTGTATAATGATCACACACACCTGAAGAATTCTTCACGGTCTTGTTCATCCAATTCAGAAGTTATATATTTTATAGTATTCTCTATTTTTGGTATAATAACATGCTCGATAGCATTTACACGACGATTAGTTACTTTGATAACTTCATCCAAAATGACGAATGCCGTCTATATAAAATCATATCACAATATAAATATAATCATTTTCTTTGTAAGACAACATAAATTTATGTTATTACCTGCAAAGAGGCCAATTCAACCAAAGTTTCTACAGCCTTAATATATGTTTCTTTACATTTTTGTACTTGTTGACCGCCACGTCCAAGACCTGTTAATTCAAAAGCTATACAAGCCATTGTATAAAATAATTATTTAGCATGAAACAATTCAATTAAATAAATTATTAACATTAAATAATATTAAGCTAACATACCATTTCCTCCCTCAAGATAACTCTCAAAAGTAGGTAACATTACTCCTGAAACATTTTCTTGCTTTGTACGAACGCGGAATTGAGCACTCTTGACACTTTCTTGAACTTGATAACTTAAAATAATTATTGCATTTAGTATTGTATAAATAAATAAATAAATATATATATATATATACAGTCAACTCTCTATAAATGCACCCCCCTTGGGACTGGAAAAAAGCGTGTAATTATGTACAAAAGGTGTGCATTTATAGAGAGTAAAAAATTAGAGGTCATATATATACTTGGGACCGAATCAAGGTGAGCATTTAGGAAGGGAATGCACTTATAAGTGGTGCATTTACAGAGAGTTGACTGTATATATAATTTATTGAAAAAAATTACTTACCTAATATCACCAGCAATGTACGACACTTCTGCTAAAGAGAACGAAGCTGTTTGCATTACTTTACCCATTTTTTGCTTAGCCTTTTAGTTTTTAAAAAAATAATCATCAATATCAAATTAATAAACAAAGATAATAAAAAAATTTCTCACTTCGTCAATTTTTTGAACGATCGCTCTGAACCTCTTGGTAAGAGCTTCACTTTTACGTTTCAACAAGCTGTGACCTGTTTGTGCCCCTTTCAACTTTGTCTTCATAGTAGTCAAAGCCCTATATGAAAGGATCGAAAGTTAATAAGATAGGTTCAACACGAAAAAAAAAAGAAATTTTTTAAATTTACATGCGAGTAGGGAAAATGTTGATTCTAGGTCCTGCTCCAGACATTTGGTATTTGAATCTTCAAGCAAATAGTGTTTGGTATTGAAAAGAGAAACATTGATCCGGTTTTATAATCAAAAAAATCTGGTACAACGTATTTAATATTATTGCAGATTATCAACGTTCAAATCTAACGATTCTAACAATCACATGACAAAAATAGTTTATATAAGTACTGAAAAATTGCCGTACTAACCATACTGCGAATATGTTTTTAGTAAAGATGTTTAAAAAAATATTTTTTTTAACGATCGTTCTTGCAATATTTTATATAATTGCGACAAGACCTGAATTGCCGCAATCTGAAACGTCACCTATTGATAAACCTGGTGCTTGTTTATTTTATTTTTTTTCTTTTATTTAGTGTTATTGATTTTGATTTATTGACCAAACGCTTTTATACAGTGACCAAAAAATATGTTATTATGTTCAAACCGAAAACCTCAGAAAAAGTAATGGACGATGTAAAACTACAAATTGTGAATAACGGAGGATCTATATATTTAGAGTACTATATGATCAAGGGTTTTGCAGCTGAAATACCAGAATCTTTTGTTCAAACTCTTGAACATAATCCTAACATAAACTCTATGGAAGAGGATCAACTTGGTTGGTTAATTATTTTAAAAAGTCCTTGATTTTTTCTGACATATTTATACTAAATTTTTTTTTATTTGAATAGTACACACAATGAAATAAATGGACGATTATAGTTTCCTTCTTTTTAAAGATAAAGAATAATTTAATTTATAATATATACTGTATATTTTTTTTTATAACAAAGAAGCAAGATTTAATGTTGATGTTGATCTGTAATAGTATACTATATAAGTACTATATACTAATTTTAATTTATTAAAATCAGGTTTCTAATAAAATAATTATATATTATTTGCTGATTGGTAATAATTTAACTCATTTACAACATCTATACAGAAAGTTTAACGTATTACAACATAAAGAACAATTTTATTATATATATCATGATGTACTTACTTTCTCCGTTTTTCGTATTTTGTATATTTTGTATAAATACTCTATCGCCCTTTTTCTTATATCTATTATAAAGTCACGTTTATATTTAAATTTTTTTCTTTATATTTTTGCTATTGTTCTCTTTCTCAAGAATTACTCCTTGTTTTACGTACAAAAATTTTTGATTCAACAGTATTTATAATAATATATTGATAGATACATTTATATGGAGATATAATAATATAATGTATTCGTTGACAATATTTGTTGGTCGGTTTATGCCTGTGGTGGTCTTATCTCTCGTAGGTTATACATACTATGTCTTTGTATTTCGAATATGTGGTAAGTTGATATGACTTTAGTTATTTTAGTATGATAGCACGCGTTACGTAAATTGTAAATTTATATTTTATTTTCTTAGTTAATCGTTTAATAGATTATGATAAAATTGCACAAGCTGGTATGTTAAATTAATTAATGCAGTGAATTTGTAAAATTTCAAATCAACGTTCTTCTAAATTATATAACATAAATTTTCAGTGATATATCTGGTAATTTACAACATTTTGTTTGTAATGACTTTGTTATCATATTTTAGAATTTTACTTCAAGGTCCTGGATCACCTTCAAAAGTAAGCATTGAAAATAAATCAAAATAGTTTCAAAATAGTCAGCATTTGGGTTACTTATAAATTCATTATTACAGTCACCGAAACAATCAGAGCAACAAAGAAATTCACATTCACCAGATGATGATGTTACAGTCAATGTATCACAACCAACAACGTTTACCATTCATCATTTTAATCCTGTAACAAATCCAATTAATACATCAAATGCTGATGCCTTATTACAAATGGAAAATGCTTTCATTAAAGATAGTGTGTCTCCAACAGTGGCAGCATCAACTTCTAATACTAACGCTGCTACTTCTAATCCTTCTTCTTCAAGTATAATGGTTTCAATGCCGAATATTTTTATAAGTAAAAGGGACGGAAGACTAAGATGGTGTGATAGATGTAATTATGTGAAACCTGATAGATGTCATCATTGTTCCGAATGTGATACCTGCGTGCTAAAAATGGATCATCATTGTCCATGGGTTAACGGATGTGTGGGTTATTTCAATTATAAATGTTTTTATCTGTTCATAGTATATACTTCACTATATGCTGATTTTGCATTTGCTGCTACTATACCTGTATTAGTGGAACAATTAAAGGAAGATGTAAGATATTTCTTTTATTGAACAAAATTCAATTATTTGAGTAACTAATTTATTTTTTATTGTAGAAGTATCTTGATATACAGTTGATTATTATAATGATATTGTGGGTATAATTTGATTTCATCAAAGGATGATTCTACTTATATTCCATTCTAATTTTTTTTTAAATTACAACAGTGGATTTATATTTGGTCTTTTACTTACAGGATTTACATTAGTTCATACAACGTATGTGCTGCGGAATAGAACTACGATTGAAAGTATTTCGTTTCGTACAAGAACGTACAATGTACGTGTACAATTTGACGTTGAGAATCCATTAGGTTACGGTGTGACAACTACTCAGCCTGGTGAAAATCTGTGGAATCTTGGTTGGAAAAAGAATTGGAAAGATGTTATGGGAAATAAATGGTGGTTATGGTTTATACCATTTGGTAAACCTCCCGGTGACGGATTAATATATTCTTTTAATCCTGATCTACGAACTAGATTAATAGATGACGCTAGAAGACAATCTCAAGCACAAGAAGATAGAATGGCCATGATGATGCAACAAGCCCAACGGAGTAACACCAGGGGTGGAACTGGAGGTGGAAGGATATTATGATAATGATCAAATTTTTAACACTAAGAAACAATTTTTACTTTGCTTATTAAAAAAAACAATGTAAATTAAAAAAAAAATTAAATTAATATAGAAGTAAAATAATAATAATGAACATAGTTTGTTAAATGCAATTTAGTATTATATACTATTTGTATTCTTAAAAATTTTACTTGGGAATAAATTAAGCAGTCGAATCAAAAATCGGATAACTTTATTCTACCTGCTCTACCAGAACATTATAAATTAAATTTTTAACCGGTCAGCACCGAAATGGTTAGAAATGGTTAGATTTGAAAAGTAATAATTGTAAACGCTCCAAAACCCGTTATTATAATCAAAAAAGTTTATTAATATTTGATTTCAATGATTTTTATACATTATAATAATTATAAATTATTTACATGCTTAAACTGAACATCATTTTATTTATTAGATGTAAGTATATTCGAATATTATAATAATCTATTTTGTTTTTACTTCTTTATTGACATATACCCTCCTTAATAATTTAAAATAATAAAGCTTTTTCCTCGTAACAACATTATATCCAAATTTATTTATATACATAACCTACAATTCATAAGAATTTATTAAATATATTGTATAGAATTTAAGAATAACCTAATATATTTACTATATTTACCTTCGTAAAGGCTTTTTAAAATCTCAAATATATACAGCGCTGGTACATATTCATCCATTCTTTGGGTTATCAAAATAACTCGAGCATAATAATCCATTTTTGATGCCAGCTGGTTTTTTTTATGCTTTTACACCTGCGCCTACACCTTGGCTCTATAAAATTATTAGTTAGTTTGCCAAATATCTTAATAAATAAGACCACAAGAACATCAATTGTGGAATTATTTACCGCCCTCCGACTTCTGCTCTTTTGTGATAATCTAAGCGGAGAACACATTGTTCCCCGTTGCAGCAGTCTCCTCGACACATTCTTCTTCTTCAACACACACTTCACTGTCATTTAATACAACAGAAGTCAACCGCTCACGAGCCAACGAAGGCTCGACAAGGATATGGGGAGACATATCCAGAGAAAAGGCCAGATCTTGTCCAGTGATTGTAGCCCTATCTTGATACGCCCGACCAATTTTTGCTAAGCCACCGCGAGCTCCCAAGGCTGAACCACCGGACCTCGTCTTTTGTATACAATTGCCCAGTATATTCTTTAAATGTGACTATCATGTAAAATAAATTTCCGCATATGTAAGCATCATTAGCAAGAACATAACAACATATATTTACCAAAACTAACCTCCAGTGCATAATTCATCAACTGGACACAATCTTCGGAGACACTTTGAAGTTCATTTGCATGGGCAATTTCAGTTAATCTCCCGAAGAGCGCACGGTGATCCGGCAATGCTTTTTGTTCAACGCATGTCAATACATGCGTGTCGTCGGCTAAATTTTTTTTTAAAAAAAATTAATATAAATTTAAATTATAATTGCGATAAATGTAAAGAAGGTATTATCTAACCTTGAGGCCGGAAAACTCCGTCTTCGGCCTCATACCGGGGGAGTCGTTCTTGTCTCGGTGATGGTAAGGGCGTCGAAGTATAAGATTCTTGCTGCCGATTCTGATAGAAAATAAATGTTTATTATCTAAATTAAATTGGTTAATAACCTTAATTCATACCTTTGCGATATCTTTTATTCGTTCTCTTTCATCTCTAGGAAGTCCCATAATAATTTCCTTTAATCTTTTTCTTTTGGCATCGGGTGCCGAGATACCTGAAGATTCTTCATCGCCATCTCGCCCACGCTTCTTCGACTGCGTTTCGGGTTGCGGCGGGGGACCCTCCTTGTAAAGACAATTTCTCAATATTCCGAATAATAGCATATTATGGAGATCCACTGAACAAAAAAATTATGAAACATACATTTAATCAATTGTTATATAATAATAAATCTCATTATCAAATATTTAAAGGATATGAAATTTATTATACATACGATGCTCTCTATCGAATAAAGGTCTCACAATTTCATCAAAGTCAACACGGCGAATCTTACAATAGATTAATCGTTTCAAAGCATCCCAATAAGTGGAAGAATTATGCCCCAAGTATTCAGTTAATTTAGATTTAATTTGGTAGGTGTCTATACGACCATTTGAAAGATACGTAACGCGTTCAAAGCGCTCGTCGACATTAGGAAGCGGAGTTTGTGAGTCGCCGTTTCGGCGATTGTTAGTAGGGGTGGGTTTTGGGCTGCTAGCTGACATCTTAGCTTTCCCTTTTTGGGAGTTACTAGGTCCAGCTTGAGTAGTGCCGCTCATACCTTTTGGGATTTGCATGTTGGTCGGCTTTGTTACGGACTTGGACAACAAGCTTACAAACGAAAATCAGGTTTCTCTTATAAAACTGTTGTAGCATAATCAGAGAAGATAAAGGATTCTCTGAGTAATAAATTAATTACGAACACATAAAAGAAAAAAGTATTTGTAAATAAAGTACAGATGTTTCTAAAATCCTTACTTATAAAAAGAGAGAGAAGATTCTCAAGCGAGTAAATAAAAGAAACCACTCTTCTTGAAATATATTTCTGTAGGATTGTTACTGTAGGGTTGTTAAGGAACTTTTGAGAAAGTTTTACGTAGAAATTGCTTTAGAAAGCGTAAAGAGTGTTGCTTTTAATTACAAAATTGTCCTTAACGACAGTAAAAGAACTAGTAGAAGGAAAACAGGTCAGTGTACATGTCACATGCAGATCATTCTCGTATTAATATCAAAATTTTGCGATAGATCATCATGTGTTCACAATGTTTGCTTTTATGAGAGGAACAATGGTTATTTTCTATTTTAATTATAAAAAAATCATATGTGATTTATTACTATGTTTTTTGATTAATTAATTAATAACAAGGTTATTTTTTCTAAAAACATATAGTTTATAATATATATTTATATTCCATAATAATTTGTCTATTCAGTATTTGAAATATCAATATATTAAATTAAGTCAATAACACCAATTTTCTCTTTATTTTTTTTTTTATGTTATTATTATTAATTAACCTTTAAACTATTTACAGGCAAATAAATTTGCCTGCAATTTTATTTTTTAAATAAAGATATTTTTAAATGTTTTTTAAGATATTTTATTTAGAAAAACTATATTTCTATAATAAATTCTATAGTATTTTTCTAAGTAAAAATCGAAAAAAAATTCTAATTGATTAATGATTTTTAAAAAGTAAATGAAGCTAAATTTTTTAAACTAAAATATTTTTTTATCTACTGATTCTAGAAATATAAAATTAGCACCATTTGATGCATTTTGATAAAGAGAATCTGATAGAATAAAATTTATCTTTCTAAAATCTATAAAACAATATAATTTACTACCTCAATGAAAGGAATCTAACAAACTAAATTTTATCTTTTTATGATCACAGAAACTTGATTTTTAAATATATAATAATTTAATAATTTGTACTTTGTAGTATTGATAAACTTTATTTATTACTATTTTATTTATTCCCTTTTTATTATAATGTTAATTTATAATATACAATATATCGATTTAATAACCGAGTTCACGTGACGCAGAGCAAATTATTTGAGAGATTTTTTTTATTTAAAAGTACTTCAGATTATTTTTACAGCGGTAATTTTAAAATGTCAGCTACTCATGATGCTCCACCACCAATACCTCCCAAACCGGATAGTCAAGGAAAGCCTCAAAACGAAAATGATATAAATCAGTTATTAAATTTAATTGACGAAGAACTGACGATTTCCCAGGAAGCTTATAACACTACCCACACAAACAATATTAGTTGGAATCAACCAACAACAACAACTCCTTTAAATGCAGCACCTTCACCTCCGATTGAACCGATAAATACAAGCTATCTTTCAAATAGGCAAAATTCAGAAACAAACATAACAAGCCTTGGTAGACGCTCTTCTGGAACTTCTACATCAAATCATTCTCAACAATCGTATAATGTCCCCAGTTCTGCGAATACGTATCAACAACATTCATACAACACACATCAGTATTATAACCCTGTTCAACAACAGCCTTATAATAATAGCTCAATTCCTCAAGCTTATGGTAATGCGCAATATTATCCGCAAGCAAATGTACCATATAACTATTATTCTAGTTTTCCTCGTGACCTTACTTCTCAAGGTTGGCCCGCTCATAATGCACATCCAAATCCTTCTGTGAGACCATTACCGAATCCATCAATGTCAAATACTACTTATGTTCAACCATATGCTTCAGCATATAATAATACTCCATATAATTATGCAGCGCCTCCTCCAATATCAGGAGCAACTTCTATGCCCGGATATTCGACACAACTAGTAATGCCTGATTTTCATTTTTATAAAGCATCAGGACCTCCTCCTCCACTACAAAATGAGATACAAAATCAGACACAAAAAAATGCACAAGTAAGATACATATAATTATTGATCTTTTATCTCTGATCAGCAATATTCTAATTAATTAATTAAATTATTAGCCCTTATCTAACGATGATTATCCAGAGAAAGAATACAGGTCAGTGTTTAAATTAAATCGTAAGCACTTTATAAATAAAACAGGATAACCATAACTTTAAAGTTCAACTTGATTTTTAGTCAATACCATACACAGTTTCCTTCAGCTTCTGAAAATACTCGGGTATCAATGAAAAATACCAAAAGGTCATCGTCATATGGTTCATCTTCTAATACTAGTTCAGCACCAGCAACTAAAAAATCATATGCGAATGGTATCAATGGTTTGATGAACCCAGCACTCTTATCCAATATAGCATTAGCATTTCGTGCTACTGTAAACTTAGGTACCCATGTAAAAGGTGCTTTAGAATATCCTGATAGTTTTACTGGTGTTGATGCTGTGGTAACTATTTAAGCATAATTGATAATATTTAAGAATTCAATATTATTAACTTATTGTTAATTTAATATATACCAGAACACGATTTATTCTCTCTTACCTTGCGATATTCCGCGTCATGTTGCTTTATCTATGGCCCGTTCGTTAGAGTCACAACTTTATTTTCATTCAATAAATTGGGCAACTGTTTCTGTTATTCAAAACAATAAGGAAGAGGTTTACACTTTCCTTAAACCTGATCCTGAAGCGCCGTCAGCATGGGAATGGGATGAAGATTTCCCTACTGGTGTATTTCCTGCTGTATCAAAGTGTTATAGCCCGCGTTGCAGTATTGATGGTAAAGGATGTTATTCCAGGATTTGTTCGAACTATGTTCCTGGCGTGGTAATGATATAACAACTTAATTTATTCTTTATTCGTTAGTTTATAGTAGAAATTGACGATATTCGTTATTCTAAAGTTGTATACTTTCATTTTTTTTTTTATCACGACACTTCAGAATGAAATAATACCTGAAAAATCTCTTGAACCCAGTCAACCTGATGAGCAACCCATAAATACTCCTGAGACGCCAGTAAGTTAATTATGTTTCTGACAATTTGTACCTATTACAAATTCATAGATACTTACAGATTATTATATTTATGATTTAACATTTTTTACATACGATTACTCTTTTTTTAAAAGGTTCAACCTATATCACAAGAACAGCAAACTTGGACGGGTTTTGTCCCAAAAGAAATATTGAGTACAGTTTCTAAAAATGAGTTGAGGCGGCAGGAAATTATATTTGAAACTGTATACACAGAAAATGATTATGTAATGGATTTGAATCTTTTAGAGACGGTAAATATAAATTAAAATTTTAGATAATGTACTAAAATGTTATGTGAATTTTAATAAATAATTTATTATCTAAATATCTTTAGCTTTATGTTAATGAACTTCGTTCAGCCTCACCTCCAATAATTTCGCCTGCTGAGCTTGATCGTTTTATTCAGGAAGTTTTTTATAACGTTTTTGACATTAGAAAACACAATAAAGTCATGCTAGAACGTTTGCAAAAACGACAGAAGGAAAGTTATGTAGTAAATAATATTGGAGATATATTTTTAGAATGTGCATTAGAGTTTGGAAATGATTATGTAAATTATAATGGTCATTTTCCTCTTGCTGATAATATCATAAAGATTGAGAAAGCAAGAAATCCAGAATTCAAACAGTTTTTGGAGGTAAACAGTCGTATTGACTCGATAGTTATTGTTATTACACATTATATTTCTTTGATATTAATATCATATTGTTATTTAATCATAGCAATGTTCACGGAAACCTGAAGCACGCAAGCTTGATTTCCGTCACTTTGCACAAAGACCGACGACACGTTTGCAACGATATACATTGTTGCTTGAACAGGTTATCAAATACACTTCAGATGATAATCGGGATAAAGAAGTTTTGGAAAATGCTTTGCATACAATTCGAGAATTATGTAGGGAGAGTGATGATAGAGTTCATGAAGCTGAAAAACGATTGAGAATAGTAGAACTGGAACGTAAACTAGTGAAGAAAAATAATGAACCATATGTTTGTATTGTAAACTTGTAATCCTTAAAATTATTTCTCATTATTGTCTTTTGAGAATTGATGGTTTTTTTTAATATATTTTATAGCCCGAGCTTAAACTTCGGGATCCAAATCGTCAGTTAATATTTAAGGGAGAACTACAGAGGAAATCAGACATAGGTTTTGAATGGTTGGATCTTTATGTTTTCCTTTTTGATCATTATTTAGTTATGACAAAACCAAGGAAAGGTCCTGATGGAGAAGTTAGATATGTCATTTCTAAAAAAGTACGTCTTTATATAAATTATTTTTGAGCTTTTCTTTATAGGTTTAAAATGCTTTATATATTAAAAGAATCTTTTTTAAAAAAGCCGATCCCTTTAGATATGCTTATCGTAGACTCAGGCTCAGAAAATATACAACAAAATAAGTCTACTTTTTTTTCTAATCTTGGCAGTATTAATTCTGCACTCGACAGTCGAAAAAGAACAAATAGTGTGGGCCAAAATTCAATGGCTTCTCCTTTGGTTACAGATCTTGAAGGGCCTGAAAATCTTTTAAGTCGGCCTAGCTTACATTCTTTTACAATTATTCACATCGGTCGTAACGGGGGATCATATCAATTGTTTGCTGATTCTGCTAATTCGCGCAAAATGTGGAAGGAAAAAATTGCAGAAGCACAGACTAAACTTCAATTAAATGGGTCAAGCAAACAAGTATTTGAATTGTTTACATTGAACGATGCAACATTCGGAACAGCACCGATTGGAACCTCCGGTGCAACAGGTGCATCAAAGGGCAAAGTAACATGTTCCGTCCCATTTGGTAAGTTATAATAATCCAAAAAATTTCCCCCCAAAAAAAGTGTAGTTTTAGTGCATCTGCATTGTAGTGCACATCCTCTATTTTACTATTTTACTATTTAAGCCCTAATTCCTTACCTAAATTTCGTCTACCCTAACTCTGATAGTAAAACAAAAAGGGGGTGTGCTGCAATGGAATGCACTAAAGGTAATAGTAATTTCCCAATAAAATGTTTGTGTAATAAACTAAAAAAAACGGATGGTTATTTTATAGTTACTCCAGAAAGGCGCAACATGGTTGCTATTGGTACAGAAGATGGCGTATGGATGGGCTTTGGTGGAGAAACTAAGACATTTCGTCCAGTTTTGACTGGCATTGGTAACGTAATGCAAATGGCAGTCATTGAAGTATTCGGAATTTTTGTTGTATTAGTTGGTAGGTATAAAAATTATAAGGTTGATTTCAAGTTATTTAGTTTGGATGAAAAATTAAGGCTTGCTTTTATATAGACAAGGCTTTGTGGGCGTATTCACTAGAATCGTTGATACCATCATCTACAAATGTCAATACATCTAGTCGGACACAGCATCGTCAAAGATTGAGTGCAAGTAACAACATTCAGTATTTCAATGTTGGCACTATTAAGGATACTACTTTTCTTGTTTTTATGAAAAAGAGAGGGTTAGAAAGCCATTTTAAAATCCTAGAACCAATTGGAACAGGGGGCCAACGTAAGGGAATGTTTCAGATGCGAAACGATAATTGGTTCAAAGAGTATAAGGTATTTTTTTTGTAATTCATATATTGTACCCGTGCAGGTTTATTTGTGTGGGTTTTTTTTAAAAAAAATTTTAATGCGTTTATATAAATTTTTTTATTTTAAATAATCTTTTTAGCAATTTTACGTTCCATCAGAATCCTATTCAGTTAACTTCTTGAGATCCAAGTTATGTGTTACTTGCACACGTGGTTTTGAAATAGTTAATTTAGATACACTTCAAAATAATACAATACCGGACCTCTCCCACCCACAATTCGCATCTATTGCGCGAAGGTGCGATAATTCCAAACCTCTGGGGATGTTGTTTAGGTTAGATGATAATGATACTAACGAATTTTTGTTGTGCTACGATGGTAAGTAAATTTTTAGAAAACTGACAATTTTTACTATTCATAAGTAGCTCTACTTAATCTCATTTTTATTTTTTAGAAATATTCTTTTATGTTGATAAACATGGCGAATTATCAAGACCTACAGTAGTGGAATGGGAAGGCAAGCCCGAAGCAGTAGGTGAGTGTTGAATATAGGAACACTATTTGTGATTGAATTAGAGTTAATATTTAATAATTTATTCTTTTAATAGCAATACAATTACCTTATATTATTGGCTTTAATCCATTGTTCATTGAAATCCGGGACGTGCAAACTGTAAGCTAATTTACTACTTAACGTAATCGTATATTTTATGAGGTTATTGTTTATTAATGAAATCATTGCATTTTTAGGGAAAATTATGTCAAGTAATTTCAGGCAAAAATATGAGATGTTTAAATGATAATTCTTCGGGAAGGAATGCAATACATGCAGTGATGCAACATCCCTTTAATGATACACAATACGTTTTTCAGCTAGTATTGGCTGATATAAGAAGAAGTGATAGCATGAGAGGAACGCATCGATGAACTTTAATTTTTTATTAATATACTAACTTTATTCAGTCTTTGTCATGTATTTCATATTTATTAGGTATATTTACATTATAGAAAATTTTTCACTATCTTATTTATAATATTTATTATATTCATAATATTTATAATATTTATTATATATAATAAAAAAAAAAGGATCAATCTATTCGTCTCGACCTTGTGCATTAGTATTGAAGAGGGAATTAAAGAATCATATAACGGAGCAAATAATAATTTCATTACAGTGCTCTGAAATCATTTTGCCCCTTTCCTAACTTTGAAATCACAAATAAACAATTTGGTAACAGTCTAGAATCCAAGAGTAGGGTTGAAATCTTACTTCCCAAATTATTTCACAATTCATGGAGTAGTGTAGGCCAAAAGTGTTACGATAAACTTTCAAGCCAAAAAGTTATTTCACTATATTTACTAGATGTAATGTTAATAATATTAAATTACTTTAATAAATTTGTTATTCTTTCCATTTTATATATTTTATATAAAATTTGAAATAATATTTTTGTGTAAGTTAAATATTCGGAAAAACAAAAAAAAAAAATAATCATAAGTTTTTTATCAAACAAAAAAAAAAAAATATAATATAAAACACGAAATAATGCACAAATTTTCTATCAAATGATAAATCAAAATTGAAAAATACAATAAGATAAAAGATTACAAATGTATAAGAATTTAAAATGACAATGAAAACAAATTTCTAATCTCTTCATAATCCCACTAAAAAATATATATATACACATATATATATTTTAATTATGACTTTCCACATTAAGTATAAGGTCTATTATGATTCATTATTCCATGTGGTTGATGGGAATCTTGTTCAGATGAATAATTTTTAAGGATGTTATAAAAAGCCTTATGTTGTTGCGGTAAGAAAAAGTGATGGATTTAAGACCTTAATTTCGTTCAGGAAACACACTGGTATTAACTTCGATCCTTAAATTCACATCAACTACCATTATCAGGCCTTGTGTTACCATCCTCATATCCTAAAACACTTGTGGATATACTTGTAGCCTCAGAAATTAAAGAACTCCTTCTGCCATCAACAAGTTTTAATGAAAAAACTTCAGAACTGTCTGTTGCTTGATCCGTTGTAACAACTAAAATATTGCCACGTGAATCAGAATATAAACAACGCATGTTGTGTCCTTCAATAATCTGCTCAAGAATTCCAGTCTCAACATGACGTACTTCAATAAAAGATGGTTCAAATGCAAGTACATAAGGATAACGGAGAGCTATAATGTAAAAAATTTTTTCCAATTAAATAATAACTCGTTTAAAGTCTCAAAAAGTGGGAAAAAAATGGATATTATATAATTTACCAAAAGAAGTGGGAGATCCTTCCCACGTTATTAACCAATTTGAACGTGAACGCCATCCAACCTTATTAACATAGAAAGCGAATTCTATTAAAAGAAAAAAATATCAAAGTTAAATTCAAGTAACAAAATTAAAAATTGAAATATCATTTGCATTTAATTACCATCATAACATAATAAAAAGTCTCCCCCTGAAATTCGGTATATAGCAATTGGCTTAACATTTTCTTTCTTTTGAACAAAATCGAGCGAAACATCATCCGGATCAATTAAACTTTGCGTAATAAGTGTTTCTAAATCAACAATCTCAAACCCTTTTGCACAACATCCCACACATAATTTTTTACTAAGGAAATTTACCGACGTTAATTCCGTTGGTATGTAGAATTCCTAAAAGAATGACAGTTAAACCTCAATATTAGTTTACTATAAGATTGCGACTATACCAAAACTCTATATTACCTTATATGTTTTTAATGAATCGCTACTTCTTCCACTCAAAATCTTAAGTGGGCTTTTATTTTTGTTTTTTATGTTTTGCTCAATAGGTTCGAGTGTTTTAATAGTTGAATTAAGGGCACTATTTTTTACTACGGTCACCAAAGTCTTTCCAAGGCAAGTTCCAGACTTAAAAAAACTGGCGTGTGAACTAATTTTGCTTGACCGTTTAATGGCTTCTTTTGATTTAATAGGATCCAATGATTCAAGTGGATATGAATAAAAACATTTATCTATATGGTAATTAAGAGTTAATATGAGCTAATGCTTCTATTATCAATTTTTTACAATATCCCATTAGTTACCTGCTAACACTAACAACAACCGAAATTCTTCAAGGACATCTATCTGAGATACTCTTTCTAATTGAATTACACGAACAGCTTTTGAACTTGAGCCAATTTCCAATACATATATTCCGAGATCTGTTCCGAAAACTAACTTACTGTAGCCGTCTAAATACAAATGATGTCTTATTTAATTATTATATAAATTAAAACAATTAAAACATATTATTTAGAACTTACCAAAATAGGATCCACAATTAACTTTATTCGGACCAGTACTCAGTTTCTCTAACGAGATTCCTCTTTCGAAAACTTTACTCTTATCGTTAATTATTTCTTTCTGTTTTTCAATATGTTCAATCCATTTTCTGCGGCTGATAAATGTGGTAGCATATAATGTTACAGTAAATGATTGCTTTCCAAGACGACCAAATGTAAGTGCATATTGCTTGTCGCCATTTCCACGCACTACTGTTGGATTTTTTCCAGGTAAAATAGATGGTGGGCGTTTATTTCCCTCAGATTGACCTTCTGTCGCAGATACGCTTAAAAGCACAAGAGGTATTGGCTATCGAAAAAAAACATATTGTTAAGAAAGGTTGAAAATTTAATTGCATCTTAAGTGATATAAATACCTTCCGATGAATCTTATATTGCTCAACTTTATTCACGGTTTTAACCTTCACCATTAGTAAAGCATGATCAAATAAAAACACCTGCAAGTCAGAAGATTCCCCGCCACCACCTCGCTTCTTCAAAGAACCTTTGAAAATTAATTGACGCCCCTCCTCCGTTAATCCAAGATCCTGAAATATTATTTACATCACGTCAAAAAAAAATGTTTGAAATGTAAACTTAATTCAATAAATAATATTTACATGTTCTCCTTTTGGAATCAATTGATCGTTTAGTTGCTGCAGATTAAATCGATTTTCGGATTTTCCAGATTCGACATTAACATTTGTTAGGAATTCTTTAATAATCTTAATAACTTTGGGTAAATTAATACGGTCAGGATGTTCTTGAGGGGTTTGTTTGAGAACAGCCTCCAAAAGTAATGGATAACGACCAAGCCGTGTTGTTGGCTTTGTTAGATATCCATTAAGCTCGAGTTTCCTAGATTCAGGTCGACGTTCAGTTTCCTATAAAAATTGTATAGGAAAATTCATTTAGGCCATATTATCATTACAAAGTCTATATAATAAACATAAAACATAACTTACCTCCACGAATTTTGCGAAAACATGGTTGCTATTTTTTTCTCTCTCAAATTCATACTTGCCCCATAATTGATGAGCACCGTATTTTATGAACGGATCAAACAAAGGAGCATATTCTAAAAATATATCCCCAATTTGCTCTACAATAGCAAATGAATTTTGACGTTTTTGTAAAGCATCAGCCAATTTAGAATTAACGTTATGGACTTCCAATATGTTATAAAAAACTTCATTAACAAAATTTTTTCGCCGGGATTCAGGTATGAAATTTTGATTTAAGAGAGGATTCATCCAACACTATAAAATACAACAATTAATTACTAAAACAATATAAAAGCAATAAATACAATAAATATAAGAACTTACGTCTCTCAGATATTCCAAATCGCGAACAAAATCCTTTTCTGTATATATTACTTCATTTATGGCTTCTTGGCGTTTTTTCTCTGTTTCTGAAACTGTATTAGCAATCTCAGGTGGTACCGTATGAATCCACAATTTCTGATCCTAAATTAAAATTGTCAAAATTATCCACTACATTTTAACTCACTAAAAGAAATTTTTTCAAATTAATTGAGGCTTAAATACCTTTTTATCAGAGATAGATCCACGGCTCACAGCTCTTTTCAATCCTGGATTGGGCTTCATATTTTTTCTTGCATGCTTTTTAAAACAAAATATTTTAAATACTTCTATATTTTTAACGAAAAAAGTAGATTTATATGAGTGAAAATACATACTTGTTCTAATCTCCGTGGGCAAGCAATGCTATAACATAAGTTATCCCGAGTACATGTAGGTGAATAGCAATCAGTCAATAAAGTAAATACGCCATTTGGTAAATCGTTTTCTTCTATTTCTTCTTCTTCAACGTCGTCTTCAAGCTCATAATTCTCAGATGATGACAATATTGAAGGCATTTTTTGAAATTGATATAACTCGTTTGGAGAATCGCGAAGTCTATGATCGTATGTGACATCATGGAAAAACTTTTGAGAATCCAAAGCTCGACCAAGTAAAAGTGCCAAATTTCTATCCGTTGTTTTGATGATAAACGCAATCTTATCCTTTTGAAAAAATCCAATTTAAATATCAAGAATTATGTAGATTAAACAAATGTGTAGTAAAGTGTTTGTGATGCTTCAATAAAGATTTATCCTAAATATAGTAAACATAATATAACATAATATCGTACCACAGCCTCTCTTCCGTCAAAACAATCTTTATACTCGAGATTATCCTTCATCCTATTTGATAAAGTAACTCGCGCACGAAATGCGTCTGCAACTCGTGAAAGCAAAGCTGGATATACAATTGGTATGTGTTGTTTTCCTATTGTAGAAGAAGGTGAAGACGGAGAACTAGATACTTCTGAAGTAACTGACGATGGTGATGCGTCAGAATATGAAAACGACCGAAATCTTTCGGTACGATGATTTGTCAGCGGCGGTTTTGATCTCTCACGTACACTTTCCATGGACCTTCTTGGGGGAATATTCTCATCAGCATATGATGGAATAATAAGATTTGAGACGGCACCTAATTGAAAGGTCATCGATAATATTTGTAAATTTATCTGGATCGTGTTACAATTAAACTAAGCTTCATTACACAGCATAAAACTATCATAATTTTAAACAGGAATATCTAACAAAATATAATATATTTTCATACCATTAATCGACATTGACCTTGTTGAGGTTGAACTCTGTGCAATGTTTGATGCATATTGAGAAAGTGGTTGTGGAGATCTACGTCCAGACTTACTAAATGACCGTGAAGTCAACGATTGTGAACGTCCTTCATAAGGATGAACTGTCTGAACAGCGATTTGTGGAGGTGGTCCTGTATGTGAGGTTTGTGTATAAAGCGGATGCTGATATTCAGCTTGATGCTGATATGGATATCCATTAAATTGGTAATGTGTGTGTTGCGAAAATTGTAATGATTGTGGATATGTGTGTTGGGGATATTCTAAATGCTGTGAATAGTGTGGATACTGCTGCGTTGAAGAAAAGATGTCTGACTCCTCTTCAGATGACAATGTTCCCAATGAAGGTGCACTTGCAGCAGCTGGATTTTGATATATATTTGAACCGGATGTTTGATATTGTTGATATGGATATTGTGAAGCTGGCTGGGAATAATGCGGAAGATAGGCCGAGTCACTATAGACAGTATTATGTTGTTGGTCATGTATGTAAGGATAAGTCTCTGAACGTGATTCAAGATCGAAATTATCCCCCACTGAAGTATTCTGACCGACAACTATATTATTTGACGAATTAGAATTTCTCGGATACCCATCTTCCCACAGCCGTGCAGTCGCTTCATTAGAGGATCTCGGTCCTCTCGGCCTTTCTGTAGGAGGCGTCCTATACGCAGCATAACTATCATAATGCTGTTTAGCACCTTTATACAGCCCTTCTTGTGAAGGATTGCCACTATATGGACGAGTACCATTTTTTTTAGGTTCGTAAGAAACCATATTCTGCATTATGCCCGACGATGTTCTAAGTTGCGATTGCGAGGGCCGTGGTAATGGGCTTAGTTATTTAGTTTTATGTACTTTTGATGCTGACGACTTCTTTGACGATGGAAGAACTTCAACGATAACAATGCCACGTGCTAGTGAATATAATTAATTCCACATCATAAGTCTTAAATATATGTAATTCTCAACTTTTTTTAAATGTAAAATATTCTAATATAAAATCGTTTGCGAAAATACGCTTCGTCCACTTTGGACACTAATAAATACAGTTATGATTATAATGGATGAACATAAAATATGTCAAAATAGTGTAAAAATTCCACTAGTTCTACTAAACTTGATTGTAACACACTGTAAAGTCACACAAAAAATGGTGATATCAAATTTTTTTATTAACAATTATTCAGCTATTTTATAGTATACTAATTTAACTTAATATTTACATCATTTTCTATGATTAAACTTACTATTCATTTTTAATAAAAAAATAAGTGCCAGAGTAATTCACTAATTAATTAGTATTAAATTATTAAAATTAAAGGAATTAGAATTAAAATTATAATAACATAGTAGAATTTCAAAAAGTCATATAAGTAAAATATGTAGCCAAACCTAATTTACTATTAGTTTTAAGTATTAGTTTATTTTAAGGCCAGAACTATAATAATGCATAATATATTTATTAAATAAAATTAATAGTTTTAAAATGCTAATTACTTATTAAAATTAAAATTTTATAGTAATTGAAAATGTAAATCAATAAAATTGTACTTTAAATTCTTTTTTTTTAAAATATTGAATTAATTTTTCTTTAACTATTATAATTTAAAAATTATTAAAATTTTATATTTAATGTAAAAATATTGATATATAAAAATTATTACTTAAATTGGTAATATTACACAAAAATCAAAAATCTAGTTATATAAATATAACAGTTATATAAAAGGTAAAAACAATCTCACCTTCAATTTTATTAACAAAAACACCTTTTTTTTCTTTATGAATATTTAAAATATAACAAAAACTTTTTAATTAGCAATAAAAAAAAAGATAATTATTTGCATTCATCAATACTTTTTAAATATTTACTGACTTATTACTACGCAAAAAAATTGCTACAATTTTTAATATTGAAAAGTAATAAAGTAACAAAAGTAACAGTTATATGTATATATAACTAATAAATATAATAAAATCTTATAAAAAATTTTATCTATTATTTCTGTAAAAACTTTATAAGGGGATGGCCAGAAATGATGTTATTTCCTAAGGGAAGAGGGAGATTAAGACCATAATGATGTTACACACCTTCCATTTTTAGACACTTGTAGTTAATATAATTTTAGTCAGAATTGTGTTTTAATTTTACATTTCCTAAAATGAATGATGACATAAGGAGAGGGGAATCAAAAATCCCAAAATTTAAATTATGTCATTTCTAGCGATCCCCTAAAAATAAGCCTTTTACAGAAAATGTAAATAATTTGATAAATTTCTGATATAAGATTATTAATTCCAGAAATATGAGCCTTTTACAAAAAAAAATGGAATATAAAAAATGGATTGACTTTTTTAACGGAAAAATAAGACTTTACTACAAAAAACCTATGATTAACCAAAAAAAATTTAACTGCAATATTATTAAGAGTTTTATTATTTTTGTAAATATCACTTTTAACATATATATTATAATAAAAACTTAAAGAAAATGGTCATATATTTTTAAAATGGATGTTATTTTTTTATATTTCATAAACTATAATCTTAGTAAATATTAAAATAGTATATTGTATAAATTACCAAAATTTTGCTTATACTAAAAAATTTTAATAAAGCAAAAAAATATAAAGATTTATATAATGATATACAGTCAACTCCCTCTATAGTCACTCCCGTTATAGTCACATTCTACTATATAGTCACACCAGTTGAATGTTCAAAACACTTTATTATTAAAATCTATCCTATATAGT